AAACCCCAAAAAACCAACATCAGATTGCAGACTTTTTTTTTTTATCCATTTCCCTTATTGGTAAAGATTCCATAAATTTGGAACTGATTATTCATCTAAGATACTTAAAAAAAAAGTTTAACAAATCAGTTCTATTTGCTACATTCTGTTCATGTCTCATTCCCAACTCTGAATGGGCACTGCGTAGAATAAAGGAAGTTATTATTGGTCCAAACATAGCACATTTATCTGATATTATCAAAATGTGCAGTGCAGAACTTGAAGACCTATATGATGTGACTAAGCAGTTTATCTTATGGAATACATAAAATATATGCATATACAAAACAAAATATAAATTTTAAAGTAAACATATCATAATCATTTAAAACAATATCTAAGAAATCTCTACAGTTTCAATCCAACCAGTGCTGTTACAAAAACAGATGAACCTGGTTTAAAAATCAAAATTCAAATACATAGACACTGGGTATAGCTATCAACTAGTTAACTCTGCGGAGAATGAGCTTTAAAAGCTAATTTTAAGAGTCATTACTAATGAGACATACAAAGGGAATGAACTCTGTTAAAAAAAAATCAATCTAAAGCGACCATGTACAATGCTCGTATTTTATGGACCAAATCGCATGTTGGGTAAGCCGCTTAAAAATAAAGTACGAAAATAGCCCCATAAGAAATCTAACAAGAAACCAAGTGATTAATTCTTTCTCCTGCAATGAACCAGAAATTGTCAATAGCAAATTTAGGGGAAGTGAAACCAGCAAGCTACTGATGAATTTATCATGGAAGCCGGGCGGGATAATTTGCCGACTCTGTGGCAGTGATAGAATGGAGGTGACGGAATTGTTTGATCTCTCTAATTAGAAGATGCCTTTTGTGGAGGGATTTCAGTTAGAAACTTTCATAATTGCCCATCCTTAATGGGCTGCTACTATTGACATTACAAATCTGATTGATTGCTTTCTAATAGAAAAAGTATTGTACAGAAATGAGTCTGATTAATATTGGAGTTGTCTGCTCTTATCTAAGCAATGTACACATGAATAGTACAAAAATTCAAATACAATGTAAGCTTACAAAACAAGTTTTCTTTCAGTAAGTTTGTACCCAGTATAGGCACAGAGTAATATTAATATAATGCAAATTGGTTTGCTTAAAAAGTTCTTTAACAAGAAATATGACTTAATATATCAGACTACTGAAAATAAAATTATGTTTAGCATGTATGATATTTGGCAGAAATTCATTTTTCAACAAGTTGGCTAGGATTTTATTTAATGCATTTCTGAATGTTTACATTATTATCAATATAAATAAGATATTTAGCAATGTACTTGATTAATCAGAAGCTGTTTTCCACCAAAAGCATTAGATAGAGTACACAGCCAAATGTAACACATTTACAGTATTCCTTTGCAAAATGTAAAAGATATAGTCATTCAAACAAATGCTTTGCATACGGATGAAGAAACTGCTGCTTAAAAATTTTACTTTCTGAATGATATTAATGCATCTGTAGCTGAATGATATAATGCATCTGTAGAAGGAACCGAAAAAAAAAACGTATCTTTCCTAATCAAGAAAGAATGAGGGTGTACAGGGTGAGGACAATTCCTCACTCTGAGTGAATATATTTCTCAATTTTCAATGTTCATAGTGAAACCAGTCTATGCGAAAGTTTTTTGGACCACACAGGACATTCGGTCCTGTGTAATCAATGAACACACAGGACCGAACCGAATTTTGTCAGACCGAAAAACCTAATGTAAAAAAGTGAAATACGTGAAAATGCAGAACCAAGGAAATCTTATTACTGTAGATGGTCCATGCGGTTTTAATCAATTCATTTACGTATTTGGATTTGTGCGATATTTTTTTATTTATAACAAACATTTGAATGACTCAGCATCAAAATAGTAAAGCTCAAAACCAGACGCTGAGACATCGAACATTCTGGTCCGGTGTAAAAATGACGCATCGGACCAGAGGCACTGCACATCGGTCAGGTCCAACGGTCCTATGTCTTTCACATAGACTGAGTGAAACTTATATTTTCCCAAAATTATTTTTTTGATAATGTCTTCTTTAACAAATTAGCATTAGATTTTTCTTTTTTCAAAAAACCTCAATTTTCAAATGGAATATGATCAAATTCCAACTTTGTTTCTGAAACATAAAAAAGGAGTCTATATTCACTTTCACATCATTTAAATGTTTTAATTGTAGAATCGAGACTTGACCCACTCATATTCAAAAATCAATTTTATATGGTTTCAATAGGCCCAACTTTCTACTAGATATATTCTTAACTGTCAACTTAAAAACAAATTATCAATCAATAAGCAATTCAATAAAATATAAAAGAATCAAATATGTTAAAGATGACATTATAAAACTGTTTTCATTAACTATGAAAATTGAGAAATATATTGTCTCAGAGTGGGGGATCGTCCTCCCCTTGTACGCCCTCATTCTTTCTTTTTTTTCAGAAATAAGAAGATAGTACTCTTAAGTTGTGATTTTAATTTTTTTTTGCAACAAACAAAATCAAATACATTTGATAATGCAGTAACAGATGCAAAGCATGAGATGCAATGATTACATCATAAATGCATTCTGACAATCTTGTTTTACAACATTCTCAAGTTCTCAGTCATTTCTAAGTCAAACAGCCAATACACAATTCCTGTTTATTCCATTAATACCTTGATGTCAATACAACCATTAGATTTTGACACCTTTATTTTTGTGCAATGCTCACTGCACTGGAAAATGCCACAATTTAAATGTATGAGCCACTTCCCATCTGCTGTGAATGATCAGTACTAATGAAGCGTCAACAGTGGCCCATAAACACCCATGATTGTACAGAACTTCCTAATGACTGTAAATGACCCTATAAAACCCAGCGCATGAAATAGATTCCCCGGACATTATGTCTTAATTCCAAACAGCATTGACAGTAACCTGAGCAGTCCTGTCAGACTCATTTTTTTCTGTGGTAAATCACCTGCTTGGATCCACCCCCTGATTGTCAGGGTGATATATGATTCTCTCCCCTTGCTTCCAGAAAAAAACTTTAATCTTGATAAAAGTGTTCCCATATATTCCTCACATTTCAGGCTTAAGCCTAAAGATCGGCTGTGATTAATGTCATTAGGAGACGAAATAATTACTCTGTGGATGGAATTAACGAAAAATTTATGCATTTTCTTGTACTGCATCCAGAAACACCCTTTCTATTTCAAGATACCTTTAGAAATCCATGAATTTGCAAAATGCATGTATATTTCATCAGGTAACAAAATTAAGTCTACAATGCTCCATTATCGTGCACAGATATCTTTTTTTTCTGGAAGAGTTATGAGAATTCATTTACACACCTATTTTTTTTTTCATTTATTAGAGGAATTTTATTATCAAAGTTAATTATTGATATTTTTTAGGTATTACTTAAAAAGAGTAAAAATGTAAACAACCTGTTTTCTTATTGGAATTAAATTATAAAAAGGTTAATAACCTAAAAATATCCTTATTGGATATAAATTATAATGTATCAGATACATGTATAAATGTATTACTAAAAGTTATAAGATCTTGTGTATTCAAATACTATCCAAATACTTCATAGAATAAAACCAGCTATTTAATTAAGAACAAATGATTTCTTTTCTATCACCATTAAAAAAAAAACATACCTGCATAAGACATCACAATGGTCTTGTTAAAAAGAAAACGTTCAATCTTAATGAAAGTACTTAACGATTTTGCCAAATGCAAGATGTTACTTGAAATTCAAAATGAAGAGGAAAAGGGGAGTTTAGGAAGCAGGAAAGAGACTCAAAGTACACAAGACTATCAGAGATTACATGAAGTTTAATCCTAAAATTACCATTTCCCTTTGATTTTACTAAACAGATTATAGTTTATAATTAGAACTATTAACCCATTTTGTGCAAAATTTCCTGGTGACAATGACTTCTTGATATTCCTGGGCATTCCATCCATAGAAGACTACAAGAACTGTGTTAATATCTTGAAGAAAAAAAGATCACGGGGGGGGGGGGGGGGGGGGGGGGGGACTAAAATTTATCACTTTTGAATTTTATTTGATGTAGTGAAGTTGAGGTGTATTTTCTATTTCACTGATTGACAATTTTTAAAAAAAAAATTAAAAAATGAGGAAGTTCTTTACCAGATTGATGATATTTCAGTATAATAATTTCAGCTCAGATTAGCTTTCAAAGAACACAGAAATGCATTTTGAAACAATACAATTTAGGATAAAAGTACTTTGATATATAACATATTTACTTCTACATGACTTGCTCCACCTGAAAAAGATTTCACTGAAAGATACCTTTTGAAAATGGAGTTCTATTACATTTCAATATCACATAATCCTATTTCTGTTTAATAAAGCAATATCTTGACAGATAAAGGCTGTCTGGTGAAAACTCAACTCAAGTTGTCCTAACAGGTTTGATACACATATCAAGGCTCAATAAAACCATCTATTGATGAAGTATCCACAGATGCTTACATCTGCCAAGTTTGGCTTAGATACCTCATGAAAGAAGACAGGAAGTGATCTAAAGGCTAATTTAAAAGCTATACTACAGGCAGACAGTCAGACAGACAGTGATTCCAGTGTAACCCCCCTTCCCCCTTTCCAACTTCATTGTGTGTAGTATACTAAGGGATACATTTTCAAACATGCTGTTTTATTTAAATTCTATTTTAATTTGTTAAATATTTTTGTGTTTCACATTTTTAAAATGTTGCTGTTGTTGCTGTCATCACCCGGGAAGCAACAAAGCTGAAATGAATTCAATTCATCAGGCAACAGTGACCCTTTACAGTACCTCCTTAAGTTTCTACAGCTTCTGAAATTCAGTGTATGTTCAGGCAACTGAAAATCACCTACCTATTAAATTCACTCCCTTAACTTTGGAGATAACACTCATCATGACTTTGTTAAAATTGAAAGGCAGACTTACTTTCACCATCTTCTGGGCATTCCTCCAGATGAATAAGTCCCCCATCTTCTACCTTGATGTTGCTGGTGTCAATGATGACCGTCGTGGTCTCACACATTTCACTCTCTCCATTGTTCTTCCCATCCTCTGAAAACATTAAAAGAAATTCAAAGTTACTTTACAAACATTACTGAGCAATGGCTTCAGCACTAACTGTCAGTAGTATAACTAGAACAAGAGATGTTTGTGAAACACTTATCCCCCCCCCCCTCCAAATAATTGAAATTTTCCTAAGTCCAAGGGGCATAACTCTGTCAAAAAATGCTCGATTGTACCCAAAACAGAACTTGACCTAGATATTCTTATGAAAAATCTGTATACTAAATTTCATTTCAGTATGTGCAACATATTTGCAAAGAAAATGAACGGAAAATGCAAATAATTGGAATTTTTCGAAGTCCAAGGGGCATAACTCTGTCAAAAATTGCTCAATCCTACCCAAAATAGAACTTGATCTAGATATTTTTATGATAAATCTGTATACCAAATTTCATTTCAGTATGTGCAACCTCTGCAAAGACAATGAATGGAAACTGCAAAAATTGTAATTTTTCTAAGTCCAAGGGGCATAACTCTGTCAAAAAATGCTTGATCGTACCCAAAACAGATCTTGATCTAGATATTCTTATGATAAATCTGTAACCAAATTTCATTTCAGTATGTGCAACCTCTTTGAAGAAAATGAACGGAAAATGCAAATAACTGGAATTTTTCAAAGTCCAAGGGGCATTACTCTGTCAAAAATTGCTCGATCGTATCCAAAACAGAACTTGACCTAGATATTATTATAAGGGATGGGTATCACCAAAAATCTCCTATCGCGATATATCACGATTTTTTCCCCATATATCACGTTAATATCATGATAATTTTACAAGCAATTTTTACAATGATTTTAAATGAATATTCATTATTTTTTCTTTAAATATGCTGGAAAAATATAACTTCACTTTTTTCATTTTCTTTATTTAGTATGTAATAAACTCAAGCAATTTTGGTTGCTAGGATGACGTTCTTTTATCATTTTCAACAATTTTTACACTTTCTGTAATTTAATTTGAAAGATTGAACAAATAAATGAATAATTTCTTGAATTTATAAATATGTACCTAAATGCCTGTATTTTAGTCTCCATGTCATGATACATATCAAGCAATTAAAAATCATGATATACCGGTATACCGATAAAATCACACATCCCTAATTCTTATGATAAACCTGTATACCAAAGAGCTAGGTTCACTTTACGCATAAAATGGCCCTGTCCTTATATCAATTAATTTACTATCACCCCCTCTCCCATTTCATATATCAAAATAAAGTAGAGACTTAGTGCTTTCATTTCCTATAACAAATTTTTTTTGGAGAATCCAGGTATTGGAAAACAGGCTTTGAGAAAATGCAATGTTCTTGAATTTTGCAGAAAACATGCGTATTTGACTACCTTCAGCAAAGAATATGAGCACAGCCCACGATCCAAAAATTAAAACATGTTATGTGATCTTCAGAAACAGATCTTTCTGATCATTATTTAATTGCATATTTTGGATCAGAGGTTGTGCTCTATAAGAAATATTGAAAAAAATACCTCAACTTTTGGCCATTTTTAAGGAATTTAGAGGAAATGGGGAAAATGACGCATTCTATGACGTCATAATGCATTGACTAGAGAGAAAATTACATCATGTTCAATAGATACATGGTCACCAAGGATCCAAGTTATAAATACTGCATTTTCAACCAAAACTGAGCAGTTTCGATTTTTCAGAAATTCTCTGGGCCAAAAAAGGCCTTAAGTGGCTCTTGCTCTTTCATTTCAGTATGTGCAATCTCTGCGAAGAAAATGAACGGAAACTGTTGGAGGACCGACAGACAGGCCAACCGACAGACAGCAGCAAAGCAATATGCTCTCCCTTCTTCGAAAGGGGGGGGGGGCATAAATATGACATGGATGCCCCACCCAGAGGTAGATTTGTACTGGATAGTACTAGTATACGAAATGTACCTTGTTTCTCAAAATGTGACATCACTGTCCTGAAAATTTAGCATGATTCTACTCCTTTCACAATGAATTATCTATATGTGGAGTTGTATGATATGGTGCTTTACTGTATCCAACACAATGGATTCAGATGATATGGAAATTGAGGTCAAGGTAGTAAGGGAGGTCAATGTAAAAAAAAACAATATGCAGAATAGTATTGCTCTCACACTAACTTTTAAGTAAATTTGAAGAGATGTACATGCACTAACAAAATATAGTAAAATTTTTATTTTACCTGTTTCAACTTGACAAAATAGGCAATTATCCTGTTGTCCTTAATCCTTTTATTGATATCGTATTAAAAGTTAGGTCAAGGCCAATGTCATAAAACTTTCAAAACATTTGAATTCTCACTAATGTGTTTCAGAATATGAAGTTTGATAATAATATTTAGAAGTGTCTTTATAAAACTGTTTTAAAAACTGAGGTATCAAATTAATGAAGATATCTCTTTCATTTTCTTTGAATTTAAAGCTACTAGTAAATGGAAAATTAGGAAAAGAGTGTTTAAGTAAAATAGAAGCTTATCTTTGAATGAAGTTAATTTAAAAATACTTCAGTTTGTTTGATAATGCCAAATGTCATGTAGAATACAAAGGACCAAAAAATTTGAATGACTTACACTATATATAGCCTGGTCAATGGCACAGCACAAAAAAAACATTTATTTTACTATCACATATCATTGCCTTAATTGGTAACAAAAAACGTGCAAGTAAATTGGCAATGGAAATTGGTTTTTTAGTTTAATGTTGATCTTTATCTTTACAAGGAAAATTTTTGGTAGTACCTCATTCCTATGTTATGATGAAATTTCCGATTTTCTTTCCCATTCACATTTAGCTTCCTTAATTTTTTATTTATGGTTATCTCTAAGAGCAAAATAAAAAAAAAATGCTTAAATTCTAGCCCCATTATTGTAACAATTACCAAGAAAAAGATTGGAAAGCACTGATTTTCCACTCTATGAAAGTAGTTCATACATGTTATAGGATGATTTCTACAAACAAAGGATCTGCAGTTATCAAAACAAATACAAGTATTGTAGTAGACCAATGATGACAGCTTTTCTTTTTCAGCCTTTTTCTTTGTTGTCTTGACTTCATTAATTTCTAAATTACTTGGCATTATATATGATGAACTATATTTTGCTTCAAGAAAGGACAACAAAATCATGTTGGTTTTTTTTTTTTTTTTTGGACTGGACATGAACAATTCAATCTTACAATACCATTAAGGAATGCTTGATCTTTAAGGTGTTTGCTATAGTGAACTTTTGATGCATTAAAAGAACATTTCTAACTACAAGGAGGAAATCAAAGCATTGGTTTGAACTCCCAAAGTACAATGTGGCTTAAGTGTGTATAATTTTTAGGCAAAACCTTTCCAAAAAGCCAATGAAACAAAGTGAAACACTTACTGAATTCATAATATTGTTACCATGCAATCTGAATCAAACAGAGATATCATAATACTTAAGGCAAAGAAATGTTGAAAACACAATTAAATGCAAGAAGCTTGTCAAGGAAAAAAAAGGAGATTAATTTCTATTTTTCATCAAGCTGTTTTCACAGAAAAAATTCAGGACAAACATAATTTAATGGTAAAGAATACAGTCTTATGACAAGCAACATAACTGGCCTTATTACTGTTTTGAGCATGACAGGGTCTTACAACAGGAAATGGATTTAATACGATTGATAAAACTGGATGAGTTGATTTTGACTGGTAATATGTAAGAGGACAATGTGAAAGATTAAAGAAGAAATTGAATGGACAAACTGGTGAATGATATTCATTGAAAACCCAATTTCTCTGCAAAGAAATGATGAAAATTTGACTTTATTACCCGGCATTGTCAACATTAAAATCACAGAATGTACAAAAATTCTTCTCTATTGCACAAATGGGATATCAATGGGAATTGGTATTTGGTTATTGGAATTTATAGAATTCCTTCAAATTAAGAAATGTCACTCAAAAACAAGTATTTGGTAAAAGTCATTACTCAAATGAAAATTCTGAGCTGAGATTTTGTTAGATATATAAAAAAAAAATGCAAAGTTCTCATTTCCACTCTGTTATAATACATACAGTAAAACAAAACAGTGAACACACTTATAATGAATTTACGCTTACAGCAAACTTTCATTCCCTGCATTTTTAAAACATATTACAAAGTTTAATTAAATGGCATATAAGAAATTACACTCATAACTGATCAAAACTTTTCATCCCTGGCACTTCACAGTAAGTGTGTTTTACTGTACAATTTAAATGTATTTTAGAATGCACGGCATCAAAAGTATCATTTACTCCCAGATGACACATCTTACAAGGTCAAGAAACATTATTCTTTGAGCTTTGCATGTTTTTGGTCTCAAGATCCTCATGCCATTTGTCAAAACACCATTTAAACAAAGTATCATATTTAAAATAATGGCTGATTCTACAAACATGTTTTTCAAATAAGATGGACAATTTCATGCATATTTTGTCTTAAATAAAGACTTAAGTTTCCCATCAAGATATCAGAATTATATCATAAGAGCTTAAAAAATTTACAGAATTTAAGGGACGTAGGGGTATACCGCGCTGCAACGTTACATTTGCTCTAGCTCTTCAATGCAACATGACACAACACAGCTGTCACACTATGTGGTGGCTGTGTGGTTGTTAAAGCTTGCCTGTAGTGACAAAGACAGCAGCTAATCAAGACACCTACACATAGAAATAACCCAAAGCAATTCTATTGCAATTTAGAAACAGGTGTTCATGAAAAATCTGTGTGTTATACATGTATTTTTAATTTTAAAAAATAAAAACAAAAAACTGTGACATTACAGGCTGTTATTTTGTATCCAACAAGCCAAACGTTGAAAAAAGAGGCCCATGGGCCACAATGCTCACCTGAGTCATGCTGGCCCTATTGTTCTTGATTTTTTTTTCTTTCAATATTCCTATAAAAAATTCTGATCTCCTTACTGTTGTCTCACTCTACTCCCTGGTGCCATGATTTAAACAAACTTGAACCTGCATGCATTTACCTGAGTATCCTTGCATGTTTATGAATAACCATGTCCTAGCTAGTACTTTAGAAATTTTTTTAAAAAATTTTCTATAATGTTCCTAGACAAATTTTTCATAACCCCCTTGGGATTGGCCAGATTCAAATCTCCTGATCCGCAATTTATGTGAATGCTTGCAAATAATATGACCAAACATAACCCTGCTGACAGATTTTTTCCTACAAATTCTTTTGTAAAACTTTGATCCATCTACTTCTGTTGGCCATGAAATGAACAAATTTGAATCTGCAATGTAAAAAGAAACATTAACATATTAATATAAGTTTTGTCTACTCTGGCCCTGTGGTTTAAATGGTGGCACCAAATTTTTACCAATTTCTTAATTATCTCCCTTTGAAAGACTGTATTGCCTTTCATATTAAATCATAATTTACCAGAAGAATTATTTAAATTTCAAAGCTGAATCAGGAATGCAGAAAGCAGGAATTTTCTTTCATTTGTCAACTGCCTCTGACACATGTCAGGAAATTATGGTTCATTACCACAAACATTTAAAGAAAATATGTACTGCCACGAGCAAAGCTAGAAGGAATAAAATGTTGAGAGATGTTGGAAAAAGATGAGGAAAAAAGTTTTTTTTTAATGCAGCTTTGCTTTTTAACGTTGCATTGCACAAAGGACGGTTATAGCCAGCTTATATATAATAATTCACACCTTGCATCCATTAATAATATATTTGTATCGCTTTCATTATGACCGGCCAAATTTGCACAACTTCAAAACAAAATTCCATATTATTGGATGATATCACAATCTACTAATGACAAAATCTGTATCACTATAATGAAGCCTTCAAGATTGTATCATACGTTTTACAAAATGCTTATCATGAAATACATGCATATGTTTATCATTAGTGGACATGAATGTGTCCAAATTAAACCACTTGATGCTGGATTTTATATTGGACTGTGGCTACATAAGCTTCAATGCTCAACTGGCAGAGGTATGCAGTATGCACTCATATAATAGTGAAAGCAAGTGAATGTACCATGATGTAGTTTACTCTGTAGTTCATATAAAAACATCTTAAATGCCTGATTGGGAGAAATATTAGAACTTTGTTACTGATAATTCAAAACCAACCAGTGTGTCATATTCAAATCTTAAAAAGAAGCATACCTTCTCTGAAATAATACTAAAACTAAAACGAATTTCTTGAACAATAAAACAGCAATTTCTATGATCCAGATTGAGGCTCAACGTCCATCAAACATCCTAAAATTAATTTTTTACCAAAACGTTATTTAATTACAAGGCCTTAAATGGGTCTGAATTCCACTCTGGTGTGATAAATGTGAATTAACACGATCTTCGGAGAAATCTAACAGTAAAACTAATAAGGGCAGATTGTTTTCTTCAGACCAGGCCTTTGCTTCTGCGTCACTTTGCATGGAAACTTCCATCCTTCCAGGGGCACCATGGGAAAGTCAGCACACCGACATGTTCTAATAACACTTTAATTGCCAACAACGATTGATTCTTCATTCCAAATATATCATCACAAATTTGTTAATTGAAGATTTATTGCAGCAATCAAGCCAAAATTTTCAATCTAATGCCATTGGTTCTCAATTAATGAAGTTCCTAAATTCTGAAGATTTGAAATGAATCAATATGTGAAGGATTTTCTTCGCTGCCTTTATCAAAGTTGCAAATTTTCATCAGCCTGGTTTTCATCGTCCTAAGAAACATCTGATTCAGTCATGTACTGAGATTTATTAGAGGGTTAATATATGAATTCTTAAGAACTAATACAATCAGGGATAATTAATATCAGAGCCAGACTCTGGATTTTGTTTTAATAAATAAAGTAATGCGATATAATATTGCTATCAAATCCTTCATGGTCATTTCATGTTGTGCGAATTTCAGTTCTAATTAAACCATAATCAAATGTAATATTGTGTATGAACTTTCAATATACTTGATCTGGATATCAAGTGATATTTTTCATGTAATAAATAATTTTGAATACTTTTATACACAAAAGAAGTCTTTCTTTGTCTTAATTCCTTTCATAAAACTTTCTGAATATGTTGTAAGAATACAACTTATTGCAGAATACTGTTGCCTGTAAACCACTTAGAAATGATTTAAGCAAAATGATTACATCTGCATGAGGACATTACATGATTTATTAAACAATGTCCGGTCTCTCCATCTGTTTTTTTCCCCTTTATCTGCTCATCACCCCACATCATTACTGGTGCTTGAACATTGTGTCATCAACACCACAGGTTATGTCATCAACATCATACCAATCAAACATACGATTGGTGGTCTGACAGAATTCAGCATTTTTCATTGGGAATTTGAAAGAAGTTTATCATATGGCATCAAAGTTATTCATTGTATATATACCATAAAAATATACACTTTGTCACCCTACAAGGTTGCCCATTGAATAAAAAAATATGATATGCCCACTGCTGAGGTATATTCATTGATAGCCATTTACTATTCTACAAAGTAATTAAGCTTTCAAATTAAGAGATTCTTCAATTTTTCTTTAAACATTTCATTTATCCCACAATGGATAATTGGAAATTTTTACAATTACGCTTTGTCTTTTGAATTTCCTAAATTCCATCATTGTCAATTATGACATTTTGAAATATCATTTTTTTTAAATATTAAAAACAAGTAATATAGGAGATTGGTCATATCGAGATGCATTTAACAAATCAACAACCATCAAAACTATCCCATATGATTTAAATTCTAATTGTACAAAAACCAAAATGGTCAGGGTATGGATTTTCAAAGTTCAAAGCATTTCAGACAAAGAAGTGTCAATCACTTCATTAATGCATTGTTTTTCACTTAGCAGCTAAGCCCATTGTCAAATTATATACCGATATCATCTATATATCTGTAGTTTCATCAAATCATCATTTTTATATGCAGGCCAAAGGGATATTTAGAACATCATAAAACACTCAATTGTAAAAGCCAACCCATCCCTGTAGCCATTTATTCCACCTTGTTTTTAATTGTGTGATTTGGTAACTATTTATTGTGTTAAAATGACCACATCAAACATTTGTAATACATGTATAATAAGCCTTGATGGGTGGCCATCTCTCTCTTTTCAACAGCAAGAGTTTCTTAGAAAATCATAAACATATGCTTAAAATTCAGTAATTTTTATATGAAACTTTTTTTATGTAAAATGTTGAATTTGAACATCTAAGATGATATTGCCCATAGTTGGAAAAAAACAACTAAGGGACCTAAGATATGATTATTAATGATGGACAGGTTTAAAAGAAAACCAGCCAGCAATTCATCTACCATTACATGTAAATATAATATTTCCTTAGGTGACTCACAATTTTGACTTATTGGTAAGTAGTAAGAAATTAGTTTACTTTTCTGCACAAAGATTAAATTTAAAAAAAAAATGTTTCATTATTTTTCTTTTTTCTTTTTTTAAACACACACACTCACCACAGAAAAAAAAATTGTAAAATCTTTTCCTTTTTTTTTTTTTAATGATAAACAAAATTTAAATTTATATACATTCAAACCCCATATTGTTTCACATTTAAATGAAATGGGGCTGCATAACCAACAGTAAATTTTATTAATTAACAAATGTATTGCATGAAAAATGTGACTGACAAATAAAACCAGTGTTTGTTTGTCAACCATATGTCACTGTGTCATGCATATTTCAAGCATTACAAGAAAACAAGTGTGAAAAAATATGCTGTATATAGCATTATGTACAAGCTAGCTGTCATGTCACTTTGTTAAAAAAATCAAAACATGCAAAATATGTTGGATTATTCTGTGACAACTACGGCATTCCTTTCCTATAAAATCAACTTAAAAGTCACAAAAAATCAGAAAAAAAAATGACAAAGCTGAAGTGGCACTTACAAATTTATGACTTTCAAAAAGCAATAATACTCAAAGTTTTATCAGTACTGATATAAAATTCATTTAAATGGGAAAAAAATTCTTAAATAAAACTGATTTATAAATGCAGCATTTTTTATGCTTTTAAAAATGAGTCCTTGAATAACGGTTCCTCAAATAACAGTTTCTTTGTATACTTTATCTCTCAAAAACGTTTTAGGCACTTTAAAAATAGTTATTTTAAGGAAACAATGGGATCATTTCACGATGATAATCTAGATATAGATTACTAAAAACGGCCATTTCTAGGCAGGTAGAACTGAGCGGTTTAGAATTCAGTCCTAATTTCTGATTTTTCTATTGGCACTTTTGCCTCCTACATCTATAATTATTCACCCATTAACAGCCAACTTCTGGTATTTAAACCAAATCAAACTGTCAACTTCTGCTGCAGTAAGGGGTCGTTGTAACGTTTTATGCACATTGCCTTAAAAATTTACTAGTTATATTTAAATAAACTAAATCTACTTACGGATATTCACATGCAGTACATCCATGGTTTTGCAATTTTTAGCCTCTGGGAATTTTTCTATGTATTTCGAAGTCCTGAAATTTGTGGCTCATTTACACCCATTTATCACCAAATAGTAATCCATTTCAATTGGTCGACTAAAGGTCTTCTCTGTTGTGCAGATTATCTCAGTTCAAAATTAACAGCCAAATAATTTTTTTTTTTTAACTAAATAATTTCAGAGTCAGAACAGCATCATTGCCTTCAAAATCTGACATAGGTGTTAGTGTGGATAATCAGTTTGTTAACCAATCATTAACACCTATTTAAGCGTCATATTGTTCCTACAGATTGCCATCAAATTTCACCGTTGGCCTGAAGCAGTCGAAAGGTGTCCAATCATACCTGCTGCCTAGCCGGTCACATTGCCTCTTTACTCTTATTGATTATGCAGATGAGGTATTTTTTCCCCTCAGATTTTGTGAAGGGTAATCATTTAGTAATGATGTGTCAAAATAAGCCACCATCATTCAAAGGCCTGCATAGCTAACATTCTTGTTGATGGATTACATTACTATGTTAAACCAATAGTTTTCACTTTCTTGTATTTTGTAATTTTCCTCTGCTATTTAAGATGTAATACACATCTGTTAATGAGCAAAAAAGTCTACAACACAGTTATGAGATTATACACTAAAAAATTCCTGAGGTTGGAGAACAAACTAGGCTGCATGTCTAAATGGGACAAATGTATCATTTGCAGGTGGTATGTAAATTAGATTGTTTTGATTTTATTAAAAATGAAATGCAAAGTATTTCTTGGGAAAGGAATCATACCTGAAGTATAAAAGAATAAATGAAAATTTGAGATGAAAATACCATCCCTGAAAAATTCCACAATGTTTTTTTTATTAATTCTTAACACAGAACACAGAGTCTGAGCCAGAAACAATCTAGGGTTGCTGGCACAGTTTAAAATGAAATTAAATATAAATACATGATGAGCCTGCAGGGAAATTAATAAAAACTATAAGCCTGTGAACAAAGCACATCATGCATAAAACTTTTGTTAGAAAAGTTAATTAATATACCTGAAGGTTAATTTTTTATGGACCACACTGACAGAACCTGTTTTAGCTATCAGTGAGAGCAGGTGCTACCTCTGCAGATCTAATACACAGATATAACTGGTGAGCTAAGCAGTCACCTGATGTCAAAGGACCACACAATGACCTCTATATCGTACAAAACTAAGACCCCCAGACATACACACAATCTAAGTAAACGTTAGATACTTCACAAACTATGGTGTCAGTCTTTGATTCATTTAACAGGTTTAACAGTCAAAACATGCTAAAAGGTGTTAAAAGGGAGCTGTTAAAAGCCTAAAACAATCAAGCATGGCAATTTCTTCACGTGTAACATCCACCTTAGCCAATCGCATCAGTCAGAAATCCTGCGACACTGATGTTACGAACCTCATTAATAGCCTGTCACGGACCTTTCTGAAGATTTTCTTTGATGTTTAATTACTGCAGCATCTAATTTTCAAGCTAATTATCCACTAAATGCTAATTAAGCCTTCCTCTGGCCATACTTAAGTTTAACACACCCTAACAAATCTTCCTCCTATGTATATTTCATGCAATCTTTATTACTAATTATCAGGAAAACTAATTAAGCATTAATAGCCTAAAGAAAAAGTAACTGAACCCGCTACTTCCGACAGAGATTATTTGCTGAACATTATGATGTATGATTTCATGTTCATGCTTATAATTCATAAGGGATAATTACTAGTTCGCATCACCATCTTACAATACTAATAAGGATACGAAACAGTATGGCATGAGTATTACGCCATCCCCTTTGCAATGTGGCATATAACATTCAAATACTGTCACTTCTCCCAACATTTATGTATAAATGGTGTCCACAACATTTATAACTTCATAAATCATTAATAATAACCTTGAACTTTTACAATAAAATCAATTATCTTAATCCTCTGCCTACTAATACTATATGGCTATTAAGCCGGCTGCAGCAAGTACATGTACAGAATTAATGTGCTGACTTTGATGTTTGTACAAACCATTATGATGCAAACATACACCTAAGTTCAAATTTTGCCACCCAGAGTAAAAAAGAAACAGGTCCGTAGGAAGCAATTTCACTTTGAAAGGGGGAAAAACCATACATTTTCAGTTGGGGGGGGGGGGGCACTATCATGTGACAAGCAAAAAAAAAAAAAAAGAGGTCATCACGTTATTATTGAGGGGGCACAAGCACATACAGTAGCTATGTTTTCTATAGTATTATATATACAGGTAACTCTCGATACCTCGAAGTCCGCGGGACCGAGGAAAAACTTCGAGAGATCAAGAGTTCGAGTTTTCAAGAGTCCGGAATTTTCCGTGTTTGTTGATAGGTTTCAAAATTAGTCTTACCGGATGTAATGATTTTCATGCAGTGCTAACTTTTACACGTGGTTTTTATAAAACAACGATATTTTTTGTAATTTAGATGAATATTTCATTAAACCGAGTAAAGCAAAAATGTATATCATCATTTCATGTATATTTATTTATTCTTTTTAATACGGACATCATACTACGCATTCGTTACATGAAAACGACATTTTACAGCGTCGTACATGGACTATTGACTATTCAAAACATGATCATTGAACGCAGTTCTGTAAGTATTTGTCCAATAATTGTCGTCATATTGACATTAAGGCTGTTTTTCCTTTTTCATATTTCGTTTGACACTGACTCGAAATAAAAATTAAAAAATTAGTGTTTCGTCTTTTAATCAATTAATATACTTTTCATTGACACTGCTTCTCTAAATTATCGTAAGACAGTCGATGATAATTATTTTAATAGCATATAGGCAAAATATGATTAATTATAAATCAATTATCACCTTGCAGCAAAAGTGTCACCTGAATAAACATCCCGTTCCTCGAGACCCGCGTCTTCTGCTTGGGCCATTTAAATGTCCAGGTAAAGGTGCTAATTATATAACCTTGTATATACATAGCCACTTCGAGGTATCGAGGGTAAATTCTAATAGAATATGCATAGCGGGACTGCATTTTGACTTCGAGGGATCAAGGGTTTCGAGAGATCAAGAGTTCGAGAAATCAAGAGTAAATTTGCTTAGTTATATAGGGGGGAAATTCGGGACCGGAGACTCACTTCGAGCGATCAAGAACTTCGAGAGATCGAAGTTCGAGCCATCAAGAGTTACCTGTATCAGCAAAATTACATGCCACAAAACTTTTGTTCTCTGTTTTTGTTTTAATGACTCTGTTTAATTTATGTGACTAAAAAATTAATCAAAAGATATTAAAATATTGTGTGTACAAAAACTTCCATGCCTTCTTTCTCTGCCCTCTACATACTGTCTGTAATTCTATGTAGCAAATTTGAGATTGAAAGGTAAAGGAGTTCCTGAAATTGCTGCACTATGCACAAGAACCTATATCAATAAATACTGATCAAACAAAAGGCCCATGGGCCACAATGTTCACCAGAATCAGCACTCCCTTCCTGAAAAATCAATATGTACATGTACGGAAATAAAATTCCTTAATGTCAACTTCACAAATTGTAACATTCTTGTTTGTGTGAATGTCAATCAATATGATTTTTTATCCAACTCGATGTGTATTTTTATCCTGTCGCCAAGACCTGGGGATAAAACAACTCACTGGATAAAAAATCATATCCAACCACAGACCATGGGAAATCCTATATATGCATTATATAGTAGCTATTATACAGTAAAACTTGTCTAATTTGGACACCACTTGTTCTAAAAAGTTTGGTTTGAGGGTCAGCAAAATGCATTCTGCACAAGAACTCACTTATTAAATGTTTTGTTATACCTTTTATATAACCATTGAACACCACAAATCTTGGCTTGTGTGTGTGTGTGTGTGTGTGTGTGTGTGTGTGTGTGGAGGGGGGGGGGGGGTTCTGTTATAAATTAAACAAATATACATCTACACTATGATAGGAGTATGGGTACTTTACCTATGGGCTAATTATGGCTCTGCTGTTGTGGCCCCATCCCTTCCTAAGGCTTTAATATCTGGTCCAGTGTTGCTTGAGATTTTTAAATGAACCCATTATATTTTCACTGTTTCTTATCTCCCCTTGGGAAAAGGTGTGACTATTTAGATAAAATTGGATTCCCTTCAATTGAGGATGCTTTGTGGCAGGTTTGTTTGAAATTGGCCAAGTGGTTCTGAAGAAGTAGTTGAAAATGTGAAAAAGTGGGACACTGACAATACTTCAGCACGGCTCTTTACTGTTTTTTGTTTATACATGTGCGTCTCAGCTGACAAAGGTTTCCTCTTTGTGACAATTACTGTCCTGTGCTACACTTAATTAAACGCCAAATAATGACTTAATCTTTATATCACCACTGTCTGCCCAAGACAAGTGTTTCTCTAACTACACTTACATTTGAAGTTCAAATACGGGGCATAGTGTCATTTTGACTAAGAATATAACACATAAAAAAAGGAACCTAACAAATAAAAAAAAAATTTACAGTTTTTCTGCAAAGTGAAGACATTTTTTTTTCTTTGGAAACCAGAGCATTCTGTAGAAGCTCAACTTTATAAGTCCCATTCATGTGACTCAAAGCTCTTTTAAAAGAAAAATAAATGCTAAAGAGAAGCCATCCTTTGAGATAAACAATTCATCTATTTCTTAGTGCTTCTAAAGTAGTTTAACATGGGATGGGATGTAATTAGTCTAATTACTATAAAAACAAATTAACGAGTATCTAAACATCTATTGTTATTTGCAAGTGGGAATAGGTAGAACTGAGATTTTTAAAAAGTGGGAATAGGTAGAAGACACCTTTAACACTAGATGACAAATCTTACAGCTTGTGTGTGATAATGGTAAAACAAACATTCTTAAAACCATTGGGGGAGGGGGGAGAACATACTGGAAAATTCATCTTATTCTACAAGTATCCATTTATTTCAGAGTAGTTTAAGAGTCGACAAGCTCAGCGATTTACCAAGCCATGAAAAGTAAATCATCGCGTGCTCCTTATTAATGTTTCATCTACATACTCAAGATTTTGAATAAAGTTAAGTGGTACATAAAATATTTTTGGTAGACAAATTGAAAGTCCTTCTGGCCACTTTGGCACGTTCTTAAATAAACTT